GTCTTCGTTTCACTCAGCATGATGTCTTCAAGCTCCATCCATACTGTAGCATGTATCAAGACTTCATTTCTCCTGTTGGCTGAGAAGTATTGCATTGTATGTGTGTACCATATTTTGTTTATCCATTCACCTGTTGATGGGCATTTAGGTTGTTTCCACCTTTTGGCTATTGTGAATAGTGCTGCATTGAACAATGGTATACACATCTTGTTTTGAGTCTCTGCTATCAAGTCTTTTGGGTATGGAAGTGCTGGGTCATGGTAGTTCTGAGCCCTGGTAGCGCAGTGGTTAAAGCGCTCAACTGCTAACCGAGAGGTCAGCAGTTTGAACCCACCAGCTACTCCGTGGGAGAAAGATGTGGCAGTCTGCTTTCATAAAGATTTACAGCCTTGGAAACCCTATGGGGCAGTTCTACTCTGTCCTATGGGGTCCCTATGATTCGGAATCGACCGAGTGGCAGTGGATATGTATGGTAGTTCTATTTTTAGTTTTTTGAGGAACCACCACACTGTTTTTCACAACAGCTGTACCATTTTTCATTCCGACCAGCAATGGATAAGGGTTCCAGTTTCCCCACCTCCTCACCAACACTTGTTATTTTCTGTGTTTTTTTTTTTTTTTTTTTCTATTAGCCATCCTAGTGGAAGTAAAATGCCATCCTAGTGGAAGTAAAATGGTATCTCATTGTGGTTTTGATTTGCATCTCTCTGATGGCTAATGACACCTAGCATCTTTTCATGTGTTTGGTGCCCATTTGAATGTCCTCTTTGGTGAAGAGTCTATTCAACTGCTTTGCCCATTTTATGATTGAGTTATTTGTCTCTTTGTTGTTAAGTGTTGAAGTTTTATATATATTTTGGTTATTAGATTCTTGTCAGATATATGGTTTTTGAAGATATTTTCCCAGTCGGTAGCTTGTTTTTTCAATTTTTTGGTCTACACAATCTTTTCTTAAAGAAATTAAGCCTGTGATTTATGGCTCTAACCGACTACCACAGTAGAAAACCCATCAGCTTAGAGTGAAGGGGACAGAGAAAGAACGAAAGGAAAGAACGCTGTCTGCCTCTTGGAATTCTACAGGCAGGAAACAGGCCGAAGGAGCTTTATCTGTTGCCCTCCGAGAAAAGGAAAGAACCATCCCTGGAGCAGCTCAGAGATCAGCAGAACTATTGGAAGGAGCACGGGAAGCAGAGCTGCCTCGGTCTCAAAGGGTGGGCCCATGGCCTTTGGGGTGTCAAAGGGTAGAGCCGCAGCCTCGTAAGTTTTAAAGAATCAGATCTTCACCAACTTGTCTCAGGAGTATGGGACTACAGTTCAATTTGGCTAAGAGGATGGGGCCTGCTGCCCAGAGCTGAGGGGGTGAGGCTGTCATACCCAAGGAGCAGAAGAATGGGGTTGCTGAGGCTGCAGGGGTGGGGCCGCCATTCAGATGGACTAGGAAAATGGGGCTACCGAAAGCCAAGGGAACAAAATTGCCGTCCCAGTGGGTCTGGAGGGCAGAGCTGAAGCCCAGAGCCAAGGGACCTCTACCCAGAATCCAAAAGCATGGTCAACACCCACAGTCTGGAGGGCAGGGTCATTGCCGAATGGTCTCAGAGAACAGAAGATTATTTTCAAGCCTTGAGAGCTTTGTTTTGCTGGATTTTGGACTTGCTTGGTGCCCATTGTCCCTTTTTCTCCAGTTTTTCTAATTTGTAATGGAAATGTCCACCTTGTGCCTGTTCCACCATTATACTTTGGAAACAGATCAACTTGTAGTCTAGATTTCACAGGTTCACAGATGAAGCGGAATTTTGCCCCAGGATGGAATACACCTAAAGTCTCATTTGGTTTAGATGATTCAGAAGATGAGATTTAAGACTTGGAGTGGATTTAAGACTTCAGGGATGATGTGATGGGGTGAATGTGTTTTGCATGTGGCAAGGACATGAATGTTTAGGGGCCAACGGGTGGAATGTTATGGATTGAATTGTGTCCCTGTAAAATACGTGTTGTAAATCCTAACCTCTATGCCTGTGGTTGGAACCCTGGTGGCACAGTGGTTAAGAGCTCGGCTACTAACCAAAAAAGGTCCACAGTTTGAATCCACCAGCAGCTCCTTGGAACCCTGTTGGGCAGTTCTTCTTTGTCCTGTAGGGTCGCTATGATTCGGAATCGACTCGATGGCAGTGGATTTTTTTGTATGGCTGTGGTTATGATCCCATTTGGGAATGTTTTGTCTTTGTTGCGTTTATGAGGTGGGATTAATGTATGGTCTATCCTGAGGCAGTCCCTTTTGAGATATAAAAGATTAAATGCAAGCTAGCAAGCAGAGATGGAGGAGGAACAATGCCAAGCCACTTGAAGATTGCCCAGGAGCAGAAGCTCAGAAGAGACAAGGACCTTCCTCCAGAACCAAGAGAGAGATAAAGCCTTCCCCTAGAGTTGGCACCCTGAATTAAGACTTTTAGCCTCCTAAACTATGAGAAAATAAATTTCTCTTTGTTAAAGCCATTCATTTGTGGTATTTAAACTATAGCAATACTAGAAACTAAGACGTGCATTGAAAAAGGAAGAAAGTTAGTAACTTGTAAAACTTCCTATCTAAAATCTACTTTCGTAAAGATCTAATTGAATAAAGATATCATGGAGTCTAGAGAGAAGTTGCTGCAGCTAATATGATAGATGCCATACACATATAAAGTATTTATTATTTTTAACAATTATATGAGAATAATGACTGCCATTTTACTGAGTATTCATTATGTATCACTATAGTGATGTTTTATATGTATTCTTGTGTAAGCCTTACATTAACTTTGTGAAGTAGGTGGAATATCCTTATTTTAAAGACGAGAAAACAGACACTAAGAGAGTTTAACTTGCCTAAAATTATGTAGGGGGATTCAGATTCAGTTTTGTATGATTGGAACCCTATGGTTTTTCCATTGGACCCAGTGGCCTCCCTCTTTATCTTTTGGATCTTTTTCCCACCTGCAAACTCAGTTGAAATGCATGTGGTTTGGAAGCTATCTCCAGAAACTGATTATAAACTCAGAAGGTGGCTATGCTAATAAATAACATTGATTTAATTTATTTTTAGGACTTAAAAACAGGTAGAACTTGTTTTGCAACTTGTTGAAAATTTTACTTTATTTCACTTGCAACTTAACATTTTATTGTTATTCTCTAGCACATTCCAGAAATTAATTTTTGTTTTTAATACAGGTAGTCTCCAACTTATGACATATTTGAGTTACGACCAACTGCACTTACGACTCTCTTTTTTTTTTTAATACATCTTACATTAGTAATATGTACTACATACAGTGTTGCAGCGTGTAATTTGCTGATGTTATCATTCTCAGATGTTCACTTGCAGATGTTCAATGTTAGGATTTACTGCTGAAAACACTGCCCTATAGCAGGAAACCCTGGTGGCGTAGTGGGTAAGAGCTATGGCTGCTAATCATTCGAATCCACCAGGTGCTCCTTGGAAACTCTAAGGGCGGTTCTTCTCTGTCCTATAGGGTCACTATGAGTCGGAATTGACTCACAGGTTTAACAGGTTTTTATAGCAGGCTATGGCAATAATAATGAAAACTGGAAAAAAAAAAAAAAAAGAGGTATTCAGCTTATGTCAGAACCAACTTACAATGGAGTCTTTGGAATGGAAGCCCATCATAAGTCAAGGACTACCTGTAGTAGTAACTAAAACCAAACCAGTTGCCACTGAGTCGATTCTGACTCATGGTGACCCCCTGTGTAGTAGGTACCATTTATTGAATGCTTCTTGTGAGTTGAACAGTGTATTCTCTATAATATGGTAGCCATTAGCCACATTTAATTTAAAATTAAAAATTCGGTTCTTTAGTTGTACTAGGCACACTTCAGTTGCCCATGTGTTTAGTGGATCCCATATTTGACAGTGCAAATATAAAACATTTTCATCATCTCAGGAAGTTCTGTTGGACAGTGCTATGCACTTTACGTATTGTTTCTAATTTATGACTCTTTAAGGCCTCTTTTCTTATTATTTATTATGAGAAACTAGGAAACTAGACTCAAAGATAAATTGCCCAGTGTACATCTCTGGAGAGACAGTGAAAAATGACTTCAAAGCATTTACTTTACATTGAGGACAGACAAGAAACAGAGGATATAGTCTGATAAACTAAGTCACAAAGTTTTATGGGTGCACATAGGAGAGGTACCTCGTTTAGATTAGGGTAGTCAGGGAAGGACTCTTGGAACAAGTCCTATGAACAGATAAAATTATATAATTAGATGGAGTACTTTCCAATATTTGAACTGTGCCTTAAATGAGGGAATAGGAGTTTCCCTGGTCAGTAGAATGAGGAGTACTCTAGATGGAAGGAACGGCAGTAGCATGTGTAAAGACGCTCAAGATCAAAAGAGTATAACTCATTGGGGAGTTGCAAGTACTAGTGGCGCAGTGATTAAGTGCTCGGCTGCTAACCGAAAGATTGAAGGTTTAGATCCACCAGCTGCTCCATGAGAGAAAGATGTGGGTGGTAGTCTGCTTCCATAAAGATTACAGCCTTGGAAACCCTATGGGGGCAGTTCTAGTCTGTCCTTATAGGGTTGCTACGAGTCGGAATCAACCTGATGGCAACGTATTTTTTGTTTTTAAATAGGTATGCCTTGAAAGGAGGGTTTGTGAGTTGAAGTGTTGGGAATGAAGTTTGAATGGTACAGAGAGGCCAGATTCTAGGAGTTTGATCTTTATGTTGTATGTAAATGCTTGCTTTTATCTCATCATGATTTTATAAATAAATTTTTTAAAACTTCAGTTAGAAAAAAGAAATATAATTCAGGCTGTGAGGTTTAATGAAAAAATTTTATACTAATTTTGATGAAAGACAATATATATGCTACTATATTTTTAACTGAAATAAATGTGAAATATGTTGTCCTAGAAAGAAACTTTCACTTGAAATCAAAATTTATGCTTATGTTGAAAATGAAAAATAACACTCATATTTCTTTTGTATTTTTAGCAGACTGGAAACTTTTCTAGCTGGTCTGGTAGTTTCCTTATGGATGATAGCATGTCTAATACTCTAAATAGCCTCGAGGAGCACACAAGTGAGTTTTACAGTATGGATGAGAATCAGACTGTGTCTGCTCAGCAGAATTCACCCACAAAGTTCCTGGCCATAGAGGCAAATGCTGTGCTGTCATCTCTACAGACCATTCCAGAATTTGCAGAGACTCTAGAACTTATTGAATCTGTAAGTTTGAAATTGCGAGATTATCACAAGCTCAGTTTCAGTTACACGATTTCATGTTCAGAAACTCCAGTTTAGTGGACACTGACTAGTTGTATGTTAAGCATTACTTTGTATGCCATGCTTAGTTTTGGTTCTGATATTTTGCAGTGTGTGCCTTGTATAGAATTTTTTTTCCCAATTCAACCATTTTTACATGTACGATTCAGTGACATTGGTTACGTTCATCACGTTGTACAACTGTTAACCACTACCCGTTTCCAAATTATTCCACCACCATTAACAGAAACTCAGTGCCCCCTAAGCAATGACTTTCCCTTTTCCCCTCCCTCCTACCCCCAGTAACCACTAATAAGCTTTTGCCTGTTTCATATAAGTGGCATCATACAGTATTTATCCTTTCGTGACTGACTTCTTTCACTCGGCATAATTCTTACAATACTTTTTAAACTTGAAAAATCTGACGCTGCTAGCATACCCCAGTAAAAAGCTGATCACAAAAAAAACCTACTGAGTAGTTTTGACAGGAATATTTTATTTCTTTGTAGATCACTATAATAAATAATTGGCAAAGTTTAAGTATATTTAGAAAGAAAAATAGTATATGTGGGCTGGCAATCAGATAGAGTGTAAATACATTAGAATAACCAGAAAACGTTTATGATTGTTTTGAAATTCAAAGAAAAAAAACACTTTCCAAAGTCACTGTCTCCTTCCCCCTGGCAAACCCTGCCTCCTTGTAGCCTTCCCTGACTCCTGTTCCTCCATCGGGGCTCCGGCTCTGACTGTCCCCCATAGGTTTACACGAGAACTCCAGGAGGTCAGGGATGGTTGTTTTCATGTCTGAGGCCCCAGCATCCAGTAGGGGCCTGACACAGAGCAGGCACGCCATCATTGTTTACTGAGTGAATGAATGAATGATGTGGGTTGCTGCTTCACTGAAGGGAGACCAGTGAGAATGCTGCTGGAAAGGTCCAGGTGAGAAAGGCTGGGACAGAGGGGAAGGTAGGGGAGGACTTGGGAGACCTGGAAGCAGAGCACCCAGGAGAGAGAGCTAATGAGGACCCCAGGTTTACCGTGTGGTGATGGGTCAATGCCTTGTATAGAATTTTAAAATTTTAATAGTTAGTTTTGTTTTTTAAAAATTTAATTGTGGTAAAATATATATAACAAAAATTTTGCCATTTTAACCATTTTAAATGTACAATTCAGTGACATTAGTTATATTCATTGTGTTGTACAACTATCACCACTGTTTTCAAAAGTTTGTCATCACTCTGAGCAGAAACTCAGTATCCCGTAAGCAATTACTCCCTATTTCCCCCTTCTCCAACCCCTAGTAACCATTTTTGTCTCTGTGCATTTGCCCATTCTAGATAGTTCATGTAAGTGGGATCATACAGTATTTGTCTTTTTTTGTCTAACTTATTTTACTCAGCCTCATGTTTTCAAGGTTCATCCATATATCAAAACTTCTTGTCTCTTTATGACTGAATAATATTCCATTGTGTATGTACATATTTTGTTTATCCATTCATTTGTTAATGGACACTTGGGTTGTTTCCACCTTTTGGCTATTGTGAACAATGCTGCAGTGAATATTGGCGTACAAGTATCTGTTTGAGTCCCTGCTTTCAAGTCTTTTGGATACATACCTAGGAGTGGAATTGCTGGGTCATATGGTAATTTTGTTTAACTTTTTAAGGAACTGCCAAACTGTTTTCCACAGTAGCTGTACCATTCTCCATTCCCACCAGCAACGCTCAAGAGTTCTAATTTCTCTGCATCCTTACCAATACTTGTTATTTTCCATTTTTCTGATAGTAGCCATCCTAGTGGGTGTGAAGTGTTATCTCACTGTATTTACAGTTCCCTAATGACTAATAAGGAGCCCTGGCGGCGCAGTGGTTAAGTGATACTGGTGTTAACCAAAAGGTGGGCAGTTTGAATCCACCAGCCGCTCCTTGAAAACCCTGTGGGGCAGTACTACTCTGTCCTATAGGGTCATTATGAGTCGGAATTGACTGGATGGCAATGGGTTTTTTTGGTTTAATGACTAATGATGTAGAGCATGTTTTCATGTGCTTATTGGCCATTTGTATATCTTCTTTGGAAAAATGTCTTTTCAAGTCTTTTACCTATTTTTTTAAATTGGTTTGTCTTTTGTTGAATGGTAAGAGTTCTTTATATATTATGGATTTTAAACCTTTATCAGATGTGTACCAACTATTTTCTCCCATTCTGTAGGTTCTCTCGTCCTTTGTTGAAAAAGTCCTTTGATGCTCATATGTTTTTAATTTTGATTAAGTCCCATTTATTTATTTTGTCTTTTGTTGCTCATGCTTTTGGTGTCATGTCTAAGAATTCATTGACAAAAACAAGGTCTTGAAGCTTTACACCTATGTTTTCTTCTAAGAGTTTTATGGTTTCAGTTCTGATATTTAGGTCATTAATCTATTTTGAGCTAATTTTTGCATAATGTGAGATAGGGGTCCAGCTTCAGTCTTTTGCATGCGGAGATCCAATTGTCCTAGCCCGATTTGTTGAAGAGAATATTCTTTCTCCATTGAATGAACCTGGTATCCTTGTCAAAAATCAATTGGCCTTAGATGTATGGGCTTATTCCTGGATTCTCAGTTCTGTTCCATTGGTCTATATGTCCTATATCAGTGCCAGACTGTTTTGATTACTGTAGTTTATAATGTTTTGAAATTGGGAAATATGAGTCCTTTTCCTTTGTTCTTTGTCAAGATTGTTTTGGCTGTTTGGAGGCCCTTGCATTTCCATATGAATTTCAGGATTTATTTTTCTATTTCTGCAAAAAGGTTGTTGGAATTTTGATAGGGATTGCATTGAATCTATACAACGGTTTGGGTAGTATTGCCATCTTAACAAATTAAGTCTTCCAATCCATGAATATGGGATGTCTTTCTATTTATTTAGGTCTTTAATTTCTTTCAGCAATATTTTATCATTTTCAGTATGTAAGTCTTTCACCTATCTGGTTAAATTGTTCCTACGTACTGTATTCTTTTATAGATGATATTGTAAATGAAATTGTTTTCTTAATTTCTTTTTCAGCTTTTTCATTGCTACTGTATAAAAACACGACTGCTTTTTGTGTTTTGATTTTGTATCCTGCAACCTCACTGAATTCATTTATTAGCTCTAGTAGCTTTCTTATGGATTCTTTGGAATTTTCTATATATAGAACCATGTCACTGACAAATAGAGATAGTTTTACTTCTTTCTTTCCAGTTTGGATGCCTTTATTTATTTATTCTTTAATTGCTCTGTCTAGAACTTCCAGTACAATGTTGAATATCATTGTACTGATAGTGGTGCAAGTGGGTATTCTCATCTTGTTCTTGATCTTAGGGAGAAAGCTTTCAGTCCTTCCCCATTGAATATGAGGTTAGCCATGTTTTTTTTTATTTTTTATTTTTTTTTTATAAATGCCCTTTATCATGTTGAGGCATTTCCCTTCTATTCCTAGTTTGCGGAGTACCAATTAGGTTTTTAGTGTGTGTGTGTGTGTGGTGCATATATATGTAAGTAATTAGTTTTTATTATGCAAATTGTACATTTAGAGAAAGTTGAAAACTAGACAAAACTGTAAAGAAGAAAATGAAAATTCCCCATAAGCCCAGAGTTAACAGTTTGATGTATTCCTTTTCATATGGAAATACGTATGTGTATACATATAAAATACACACATTTGCATGTTTTTTTAACCCCGAAGTGGCATCATACCATATATACATTTAAGTATTTTGTTTGTAGGGTTTTTTGTTTTTCAACATTATATCATGAGCATGTCTCTATTTTGTTAACTGTTTTTTAAACTTGATGTTTAATGGATTCATAGTATTCTACCATATGAATTTACCAAAATTTATATACCCAATGTACTGTTATTATTGGACATTTAGGTGGTATCTAGTTTTTCAGTATTACAAGTAACAATATATAAAGTTTTTTGCAAAATTATTATTATGTCCTTAGGTTAAATTTAATTTCCAGATCGAGATGTATGAACATTTTTTTTTTAAATTGTGCTTTAGGTGACAGTTTACAGTGCAAGTAAATTTATATACAAATTATTTTGTGACATTGGTTGCAATCCCCACAGTGTGTCAGCCCTCTCCCCTTTTCCACCTCGAGTTCCCTATGTCCATTTGCCCAGTTTTTCTGTCCCCTTCCTGCCTTCTTGTCTCTGCTTTTGGGCAGGTGTTGCCCATCTGGTCTTGTATACTTGATTGAACTAAGAAGCACATTCCTCACATGTGTTATTGTTTTATAGATCTGTCTAATCTTTGGCTGGAAGGTGGACTTTGGGAGTGACTTCAGTTCTGAGTCAGCAGGGTGTCCAGGGGCCATAGTCTCGGGTGTTCCTCCAGTCTCTGTCAGACCAGTAATTCTGGTCTTTTTTTGTGAATTTGAATTTTGTTCTATATTTTTCTCCCGCTTGTGTGGGACCCTCTATTGTGATCTTTGTCAGAGCAGTTGGTAGTGGTAGCCAGGAATCATCTAGTTCTTCTGGGCTTAAGGTGGTGGAGGCTGTGGTTCATGTGGTCTTTTAGTCCTTTGGATGAATATTTTCGTTGTGCCTTTGGTTTTTTTCATTCTCCTTTGCTCTGAATGGAATGGGTCCAACAGATGTGTCTTAGATGGCCGCTCACAAGCTTTTAAGACGCTAGATGCTACTAACCAAAGTAGGATGTAGAACAATGTCCTTTATGAACTATGTTATGCCAGTTGACTAGATGTCCCCCGAGACTATGGTCCCCAGCCCTCAGCCCCAGCAACTTGGTCCTTCAAGGTGTTTGGATGTGTCTAGGAAGCTTCTATAACTTTGCCTTAGTCAAGTTGTGTTGACTTCCCCTATAGTTTGTTGTCTTGCCCTTCACCAAAGTTAACAGTTGTCTACTATCTAGTTAGTGATTTTCCCTTCTCACCCCTCCCCTCCTTTGTAACCATCAAAGATTGTTTTTGTTTTTCTGTGTGTAAACCTTTTCTTGAGTTTTTATATTAGTGGTGTCATCCAATATTTGTCCTTTGTGATTGACTTATTTCACTTAGCATAATGCCCTCCAGATTCATCTGTGTTGTGAGATGTTTCCCAGATTCATCATTGTACTTTATCCTTGCATAGTATTCCATTGTGTATATGTACCATAATTTGTTTATCCATTCATCTGTTGATAGGCACTTAGATTGTTTCCATCTTTTTGCTGTTGTGAATAATGCTGTAATGAACATGGGTGTGCATATGTCTATTCATGTGATGGCTCTTATTCTCTGGGATATATTCCTAGAAGTGGGATTGCTAGATTGTATGGTATTTCTATTTCTAGCTTTCTAAGGAGGCGCCCATATCATTTTCCATAGCGGTTGTGCAATTTTACATTCCCACCAGCAATGCGTAAGAGTTCCAGTCTCCCTGCAGCCTTTCCAACATTTGTTATTTTCTTTTTTTTTTTATCTGTGCCGGTAATGTCAGGGTGAGATGGTATCTCATTGTAGTTTTGATTTGTATTTCTCTAATGGCTAATGATCATGAGCATTTCCTCATGTGTCTGTTAGCTGCCTGAATGTCTCCTTTAGTGAAATATCTGTTCATGTCTTTTGCTCATTTTTTAATTGGATTATTTTTCTTTTTGTTGTTGAGGTATTTGAAGTATTTTATAGATTTTAGAGACTAGACCCTTGATGGATATGTTGTAGCCAAAAATTTTTTCTCAGTCTGTAGGTTCTCTTTTCACTCTTTTGGCGAAGTCTTTTAATGAGCATAAGTGTTTAATTTTTAGAAGCTCCAAGTTATCTAGTTTATCTTCTGGTGTTTGTGCATTGTTAGTTATGTTTTGTATTGTACTTATGCCATGTATTAGGGCCCCTAGCGTTGTTTCTATTTTTTCTTCCATGATCTTTGTCGTTTTTAGTTTTATATATGTAAGTCTTTGATCTGTTTTGAGTTAGTTTTTTTGTATGTGTGAGGTATAGGTCCTGTTTCATTCTTTTTTTACAGATGAATATCCAGTTTTGCCAGCACCATTTGTTAAAAAGAATGTCTTTTCCCCATTTAATAGACTTTGGTCCTTTGTCGAAGATCAGCTGACCATAAGTAGATGGATTTACGTCTGAGTTCTTGATTCTGTTCCATTGGTTGACGTGTCTGTCGTTGTACCAGTACCAGCCTGTTCTGACTATGAATATTTTTTAAGGCTTTCCATACACATTACCAAATGTAAAATTTGTTAGTGTATTTCTAATGTAAAGTAGAATGTGAAGTCTTATGATGAGTTATGTTTGATTTGCTGTTTGACAATAACTTAAAATAGTTTGTTCCTTTCATTTTAAATACTTTGCCACTTACTTTCAGCTACTGAATTAGATGAAATATTATTTTTTTGGAATTTTTCAAATTGGAGTTGTAGGAAAACCACAATCTATTCTTCTCAAATGGTCTTGCTTAAAACAAGATGTCCAAGGAAAGCCTATTTCTACTGATGATTTCTGTAGAGTTACTTATTTTTATCATCCTATGCTGAAAATCAGATTTAACCAGGTTATAGCATTAACTTTAGTTAAAATTTTAATTTATTGCAGGATCCTGTAGCATGGAGTGACGTTACCAGTTTTGATCTTTCTGATGCTGCTGCTTCCCCTGTCAAGTCCACCCCAGTTAAACTAATGCGGATACAGCACAATGAAGGACCTATGGAATGTCAATTTAACGTCAGTCTTGTACTTGAAGGGAAAAAAAGCAGTTGTAATGGTGGAGACAGTGAGACTGTTCCTCTAACATCTCCAAACGTGGCCAAGTTTAGCACTCCACCGACCATTCTCAGAAAGAAGAAAAGAATGCGAGGGGGTCATTCCCCAGCCAGCGAGCTTGGTGATGGCTCATTCAGTGATGGTGGTAATACAGCACTAAAACACACACCAGTGAAAACACTACCATTCTCTCCTTCACAGGTAAGTAGTGTTTTTGTTTTCCTTTTAATGTTCCCAAAATGCTGATGAGCTAGATTAAATTAGATCTTTAATAATTCTTACTAGCAGTGGTTGCTTTGATAACACATAAAAGTGGATAATGTGTTTGAACGTGTCCATGAGAGTGCTAAACCTGACCAAAAGGTATCTCACAAAGTGTGGTAGTTTGATTATAGTATCCTACAATTTATAGAGCTAAAGGAGACTTAAATTTTTTTTAAATTTTATTGTGGTGAAAATATACACAACAAAACATATACCATCTCAACACTTTCTACATGTACAGTTCAGCAACACTGATTACATTCTTCGAGTTGTACAACTATTCTCGCTATCTAAAAGGAACTTTTTAGATACATAATTCCACACCTTTATAGAGATCATCAGTAAATAGGCCTAGAAAGGTAAAATGATTTGCCCCAAGTTATATAGTGGCAGAGCTAAGACTGGGATCCAGTTTCCTGAAGTACTGTTCAACAGATATACCTCGTAAGGTATAAAAAGACCTCAGCTATATAGAGTAATTTAGATTTTAGTCTACCTATTGACTTTTCCTTCTTAATGTTCATTGGAAGAAACATAGAAAGACAACTGCTCACTGTGAGATCATGTGTCAGGGTTTTCTCAGCCGTCAGTGTCCTGTAGTGATGTCCCTGGGCAGCAGATGTTATACTTGGGCAAGCAGTGCCTCTTCTTTTATAATAATACCTTTCTTATTGAACACTTGCTAGGTTCCAGGATGTGTGATAGCAGTTTTCATACAGGAGTTCAGTTAATTCTCTTTTCAAACACCTTAGGAGGCAGGTGGAATGAAATTCGGAAGTTAAGCAACTTGTCCAAGGAAATGGAGCTGCTGGGGTTTATTGAAAGTGTCTTGAGAGAAGTTAAAACATCTTATGGAAAAAAAAGCACTGGAGAATGTTGGGATATTGTTGGGGGTATGTTTTGAGGCTGGGAGGATGAGGAATCCCAGAACAGGATCTGGCAGTATACAACCACTGTGATCTCTGAAAATTGTGCCACTCGTGCTTCAGAGAATTCCATTTACGTAGACTATAATGTGGATAGTTTGTTTCCCCACCTTCTTCCCCAAGTGGCAAAGCCACCTTGGGCACACACGCAGATTTCTGTGTTTGGAGTTTTGCATACTAGCAGTATTCAGCTATTGTTGAAGAGTAAATTCTCAGGTGAAAAATGGTTGGGAAGGTAGGGCATGACTATAAAGGACTTTATATCCAAGCAAAGAGCTTGGATTTTTACCTGTAAATTATGAGGCGCTACTGTAGCATTTTAAGAGGACTTGGATGCTAATCTTAGGGATGAATTAATTACAAATATTAGAGTTAAGTAAATTGCCATAGAGCTACAAGTGATAGACCTAGAATTCACTCCAGGTATAAGTAGCCTTAAAGCAATTTCCACTTCTTCACACCACTGCTTCTAATCTGTTGGCTGTGAAAATAAATATTTCACAATTGTATGTAAGTTATGATCAATGAGTAACTGTATAATTTGAGAAATGGACTCTGTGATGTCAATTTTGGCTGTTAAGAGGTTCTGTGCTGTGCTATAGCTAGGCAAATTTTCCAGCTACACTCCTTAATAGCAAAGCATTATTATTATGTTCTGAATTCAAAGTATTCTCATAGAAAAGGCCACTTAAGATTATTTATTTACTAATGATAGAGCTAAAAAAACTTTTGGCTTTTTTAATGGGTTC